GGGCCTGGGGGTGCTGGGGCTGCGGGTGCTGGGACTGAGGGTGCTGGAGCTGAGGGTACGGTGCCTGAGAGTACGGAGCCTGGGGGTGCTGAGCCTGGGGGGGCTGCGACTGGGGGTGCTGAGCGTGCGTGTACGGAGCCTGGGTGTACTGAGCCTGGGGGTGCCGAGTCTGGGGGTGCTGAGCCTGGGGGTGCTGCGCCTGAGGGTACTGAGCCTGGGGGTGCTGCGACTGAGCCTGCGGAGCCTGGGGTTGCTGCGTCTGGGGGTGCTCCGGTTCGGGGTGCTGAGCCGTCTCTCACACAGCAGCAGCTTCGTGACTGGTACGTCCGGCGCTTTCGCCGTCCTCGTGGCCCTGCTGGAGTTGGAGGTTCTGGAGCTGCTCGTCCTGGAGGTGCTCGTACTGGAGGTACTGGAGCTGCCGGGGCTGGTTGTTCTGGGAGCACTGAGGCTGGAGCTGCTGGAGCTGGCGGTGCTAGCGGGGTTGGAGCTGCCGGGCCTGGGTGCGCTGAGCCTTCGGGTGCTGAGTCTGGGGGTCCTGAGCCTGGGGGTGCTGCGACTGAGCCTGCGGAGCCTGGGGTTGCTGCGTCTGGGGGTGCTCCGGTTCGGGGTGCTGAGCCGTCTCTCCGGGAGCCTCTCACACAGCAGCAGCTTCGTGACTGGTACGTCCAGCGCTTTCGCCTTCCTCGTGGTCCCGCTGGAGTTGGAGGTTCTGGAGCTGCTCGTCCTGGAGGTGCTCGTACTGGGGGTACTGGAGCTGCCGGGGCTGGGAGCACTGAGGCTGGAGCTGCTGGAGCTGGGGCCTCTGGAGCTGACGGTCCTAGCGGAGTTGGAGCTGCCGGCTCTGGGGGTGCTCTTCCTGGAGGTGCTGGAGCTGCTGGAGCTGACGACACTGGAGCTGACGGTCCTGGAGGTGTTGGTCCTGCTGGTTCTGGAGGTGCTGGCGAGGGGAGGTCTGCCGCTGCTGGGGCCTCTGGTGCTGACGTCGCCGGCTCTGGGGGTGCTGCGGCGGGGGGCGCTGGTACTGGTGCTTCTGGTGCTGCGGGTGCTGGAGGTACTGGCGGAGCTCCGCCGTCGCGCCTGTTCTTCGCTCCACCGTCGCCGTCGGCTTTGCCACCGCCTGACACGGTGCTTCGCCAGGTTCTTTCCCTCCCGTCTTCCACTGGCCTTCCCCTCCAGCCTGGCTCCCCCCTCCCTGCTCCTGTGCCTTACACTGCACAGCCGGACTCGCTTACGGAGCGTCGTGAGCCTGTGTCTCGTCCTGCCTCGCCTGTTCGCGCTGCTCGCACTGCTCGCACTGCGCGCACTGGTCCCACTGGTCGTCGTGTCGCGCGTCCGCGTCCTCCTCCTGTTCGCCCCAGGAGGGGGAACCTCGTCAACGTAGGTGCCTGTGGACTTCCAGGATGCCATCTCCGCGTCCACGGGGGAGGTTGGCGATGCGTCGCGCTTCCGGGTGTGGGGTGCTCGTGCCCTTGTCCGCGATACGTCCGCGGACAAGCTCTCCTCCCGCACGCTTCCCTGTGTCTTCCTTGGCTTTGTCCCTGACGCGCCTGGCTGGCAGTTTTACCACCCCACCTCGCGCCGGGTCTTCGCCTCTCAGGACGTCACCTTTGACGAGTCGGTCCCTTTTTACCGTCTCTTCCCCTACCGCACTGCCCCCCTCCCTCCCCCGCCGCTTTTCCGTACTCCTGGTCCCCCTCCGGTAGACCCCCTCCCCCCTCAGGGTCCTGCTCCTTCAGGTGTCTCTCAGGTAGACCCTCCTCCCGTCGCTGAGCCTGTCGAGGTCACAGGTGACTCAGGTGCTGCTGCAGGTGGTGCTGCTGGGAGTGCTGAGCCTGGGGGTGCTGGGCCTGGGGGTGCTGGGGCTGCGGGTGCTGGGACTGAGGGTGCTGGAGCTGAGGGTACGGTGCCTGAGCGTACGGAGCCTGGGGGTGCTGAGCCTGGGGGTGCTGCGACTGGGGGTGCTGAGCCTGCGTGTACGGAGCCTAGGTGTACTGAGTCTGGGGGTGCTGAGCCTGGGGGTGCTTCGCCTGGGGGTGCTTCGCCAGCCATGGACGCAGAGATGGCATCCTGGAAGTCCACAGGCACCTACGTTGACGAGGTTCCCCCTCCTAGGGCGAACATCGTCGATGGCATGTGGATTTTCAGGGTGAAGCGGCCGCCAGGTTCTCCACCTGTCTTCAAGGCTCGTTACGTTGCTAGAGGCTTCAGTCAGCGTCAGGGGGTTGACTTCTTCCAGACCTTCTCCCCACCCCGAAGATGACCACTCTTCGGGTTCTGCTGCACGTTGCCGCTCAGCGTGACTACGAGCTTCACTCTCTTGACTTCAGCACAGCGTTCTTGCAGGGCAGCCTGCACGAGGAGATCTGGCTGCGCCGCCCACCTGGCTTTACTGGGTCGTTTCCTCCTGGTACCCAGTGGAGCCTCCGGCGGCCAGTCTACGGTCTCCGCCAGGCGCCACGCGAGTGGCACGACACACTAAGGACTACACTTGCGGCCCTTGGGTTTGCTCCTTCCACTGCTGACCCGTCACTGTTCCTGCGCACAGACACGTCGCTGCCGCCGTTCTACATCCTCGTGTACGTCGACGACTTGGTCTTTGCTACTGCTGACACTGAGGCACTCGCTCGTGTGAAGTCGGAGCTGCAGAAGAGACACACCTGCACTGACCTGGGTGAGCTGCGTAGCTACCTTGGCTTGCAGATCACCCGGGACAGAGCACGCCGCACCATTACCCTGACTCAGTCACACATGGTGCAGCAGGTCCTTCAGCGCTTCGGCTTCCAGTTCTCCTCACCACAGGCCACACCTCTGGCTACCAGCCACTCGCTCTCAGCTCCACCTCCGGACGAGTCCGTAGAGCCGAGTGGCCCGTACCCAGAGCTTGTAGGCTGCCTCATGTACCTGATGACTTGCACGCGACCTGACCTCGCGTACCCTCTTAGCATCCTTGCTCGTTACGTTGCGCCTGGGAGACACAGGCGAGAGCACTGGGAGGCTGCTAAGAGGGTACTGCGTTACTTGTGCAGTACATCAGGCATGGGGCTGGTGCTTGGAGGACGCGACAGAGTTGTCCTCACTGGTCACTCGGACGCTTCTTGGGTGGACGACCTGGCTACGCAGCGGTCGTCGCAGGGTTACACCTTCAGCCTTGGCTCTGGTTCTGTCTCGTGGCGGTCCACCCGCTCTTCTTCTGTTCTCAGCTCTAGTTGTGAGGCTGAGATCTACGCCACGGCCATGGCTGCACAGGAGTTACGCTGGCTCACCTACCTGCTGACTGACTTGGGAGAGCGGCCTAGTTCTCCTCCAGTTCTGTACGGCGACAACAAGGCGGCCCTTGCCTTGTGTCAGGAGCACAGACTGGAGCACAGGACGAAGCACATTGCTCTTCGCTACTTTCTTGCTCGAGAGCTGCAGCAGCGCGGTCAGCTTCGGCTTGTGTACGTGGACTCGAAGGCCAACACTGCTGATATCTTCACCAAGGCGCTCCCGCCTAGTGATCATCAGCGGCACTGTACTTCTTTAGGCCTTGTGTCCACATTCCCTCATTTGCTTACTGCTTGACTTTCTTTGTACTGTACTTTATATATATCTTGGTGCTTGCTTGCTAGGTTTTGATCACTGTGTTGCTTGTCTTGTACTATATCTAGCACTGCATGTGAACTGGCCTTGTGGCCTTTGCTTGTGCTCGGAGTGTGGTGACGTTGTGATCCACCCTGGGCTTGCGTTGCTTTGCTGGACTGGTCTTATGACCCTTTGTTCTCCCCCACTTTGCCTATGGGGGTGTGTTAAATTGTAATGTGTTACATGTTGGTAGGCTGTAGTGGGGTAGCCAATATGGGGTACAACCTCAACTAGGGTTTGCTACTTGTACCCAACTGTTTCATTCAATGCACCATTCTTGCCTAGTCTTGTTGACAGGATGAACTGTTTCCACTCAACTGCTTAGTAAACGTATAAGTTCTGTTACACAACTAAATCTGGTAACTCTGCTGGAAACAAATCCGTTATTAACAAATTCGGATCCGCCCTCAGACTCGAATTCTGACAGGAGATCTGACGCGCCGCCTGCTCGACATTTTCACACGAGGGGTGATTTTCGTTACGAATATAAGACCCCCCTTCCCGCCCCATATTGAGCAATACACCCTAAATAACAGACTGATAGTTGACAGATAAGTGTACTTGGGGGATTTATAAAACTACTGCCACATATATGTCCACCCTAGCATTTTTTTTTCCGCATTTGTGGAGAGTCCCCCGGATCCTATAGCCGGAAGAATACGATAAGTCTTCCACGCACTCAGTTTAGTACAATTCATAACACAGGGCATGGTCCTTACACATACACACGCGAGAAGAACAAATAATACAGTACCGTCATACCCCGGATATAAGCGCCACCCGCGGATAAGCGCCTGGCGCTTTTAATCGGCGCCCGGCGCTTATATCCGGTGCTCGATTATAAGCGCACCCCCCTGAAAAAACTTGTTTTATTATAAGCGCACGTAAACTTTAAATTTTGAATTGTGTTCGAAACACTGTAACGATTTCTACTTCAGCAGGGGGATGTGTTGCAGATTCGCTTCCCTTCACATTCGGACCCTGCACTGGATGCGGGACCAGTCAGCAGGAGCAGTCAGGAGCTGTCAGAAGCTGTCAGGAGCTGTCAGAGTAGGTGTATCTCCAGCGCGCGCGAGAAATTTCACAGAACTTCGACTCGATTGAAAAAGGCTAGCACGAGATCTACAGCTTGGTGTTAAAACATATATAAAATATATATGTCGTTTTATAAACGCCGGCGCTTATAAATTTACCCGATTATAAGCCCACCCCCCCTAAAAAAACCTGTTTTATTATTGCCCCCCATGGGGGTATATCCGGGGTATGACGGTACATTTTTCCCACAACTGGCAACTAGAACCTACCGTAGCAAGCCTCCCGTGGTAATTTATGGCAAAATCCTGCCATTGGCGACGCACATGCCAGAGAAACGCCAGCTGTCAGGAGGTCATCACACTTGGTATGATCTTTCCCTCTACTGCCACGCCGTCAACGTTAATCTGAACATAGAAGTCACTAGGTTTCACAAACATTCCAGAGGTGACCAACGACTCAATTCCGCCGACTGGCTGGTAAGGCGAACTGAGTGCAACTTTCTCATAGATGGTGCAGCTCCAGGTGCCGCTTGTTGCTTCCGGTTTATATTTGCACGGAAACTGGGCCACAAGGGAACCAGTGCTGTTCCTGTAGTAACTGGGAAAGGAAATTGATGGGGCCCAACTCTTCACGCCCGTGACGCGGACGGCGAGCGAGGTGGTTTGGTCAATGGCCGTACTGCAAAGAGAGGCGAGAGGGGGGAGAGGCGTCAACGATATCAGCTGGATTTAGTCATCGTGAAACCTGAGACAGTAACCAAGGGTTCAATGGGAATAAGTCATCAACGAAATGGAAAGGAATGGGGGTTTAGGGTAATGATTATCGCCGGAGTATGGCGCTTACACTTTAGCATCCAGGGTGCACGAGCCAAACAAATTGCCAGTATTCGAGGAAAGCTTCGATGAGGATTGGTCTGCGCAACGTGGAAAGGGATAAGCCGCCATCAAAGGGAAAATAAAGCAGGGGAAAATATAAGTAAAAGCATGAGTGCATGCGACAAGCGAGTGTGTGCAACAAGAGAACGTGTGCAAACGGACAGAGAACGCGTGCAGGTTGGAAGCATGAGTAATGACGCGCCGCCGTACAGCGAGTGTTTGAGGTTTGGAGCAGATGGCGCCCGGCGATGGCGTTGCAGGTGAGAGAGAGCAGCACTGCACGGAAGAAAAGAGGGGGCCAGTAGAATTGTGGTTGTTAGGAGTCAGATTTTAAGAACTTCACAGAGCGGCCGAGCAGGTTGAGCAAGCGCGCTTCGTGACCAGAGTGACCAGCAACAGGCGGTCGAGCGTCAAATCATAGTGGGCAACGAGGAGGAACAGCGGTCAGTCACGAATCAGGAACTCACCCGCGAGGACGAACGCAGGTCGCAGCGACGTGGGCGCCATGATGGCTAGTGGTTGCAGCGAACGTATTTCGGGATAATTGCGTGCGAGGAGGGGATTTACGAATGCTGCCCTTAAAGAAGAGAATGGAGAGGCTCAAACCACTGAGAGGCACGAATAAGATGCTCCTCGGGAAGAACATGTGCTTTATAGCCAGTCGAGAGGGCCAGTACTCGGTAGGATAAAACATCCGCGTGCGGATGAATGAAGGGACGGGAAAGCATCTTAGTATGTACGCCTGCGAGGAAAGCGCTACTAGTCAGTTTTTGCAGACAAGGAGGGACGGAACGTCAGGCAGAAATCTGCCGGGAGGCTTTCAGGGGAACGCCAGTTCCAAGCTGTGTCAGATGCCACCGACACTCACAGGTCCACGACTGCTAACGGCGGCGGTCAGACTCTCAGGTGCCTTGACCTCGTTTTCCCAGATCTAAGAACTGGTTCTTCCCTTGCGCCCTAGGTTGAATTGCATCACTGATGTTTCTACAAAGTGGTTTGGCGTGCTGTACAGGCAAACGCTGACTGCTGCTGCTTTGCTTCTCGTTTTCCTCCTGAATCATGATTCAACGGACATCACAAAATTCCTGGCCCCAAAAACATACGCAAGGTGGCTTACTAAAAAGTATCCTGCATGAGCTATCTTAGAACAATGCCCGAGTCTTCTAGGGACCAACGCAACGAAGATTGGTTTGGGTTTCGGATCGGAGAAAGGGAAGGCATTCCCAGCAAAGTAAATGAAACCAGAGGAGCTGTTTATGCTGCATATGTCGTTCATTTGCACAAGTCATTCATTTGCCCAAGTCAATTCCACCAACGCGCACTGTTGCGTTACGAAACTGAACCTGCTATTCCAAGCCTGGCTGCAGGTCAGGGAACGTGTGTCATAACAAGAACGCAGGCTCGTTTTCTTCTACCGACCAGTTGACCTCCCTCGCGTGCTGCTACGTCAATAACACCACCCTCTGTGTAACTGGTTACACCGCGAATTTGTCCCGTCATCGATCTCGCGAACGGGCGGGCCGATTCCCTCCTGCAGCGAAGCAACCCACCCCTCTCCCTGCCAGATTGCCCCATACACTCCCGCCCTTCCCTTCCACCCCTCGACACGCCTCACTACATTACCACCAGCCACTTCCATGACTAGCTCGCATTAGCTATTCCCTATTTCCGCTACCAACTGCCTAGTCGGACCTGAGGAACTCCATTCTCTCTCGTGTCAATCACGTCCGAGTGTAGTCCGTACGTTGATCATTGGCCATGGCGGCTCAAGCGAGTCGCATACCGCCTTCATGTCAGAGTCCGACTCCAAGTGCGACCTATGCGAAGGGCTATAAGGTAGAAGCTGCAAATCACCACAATCATCACAGCTTCTGCCTCCGTTCTCTCTTTCCTACCTACGATCTCGCATACCAGGCACCTCGCGGCTCACGCATTTGAATCCTCCTGTGTGATTCTCACTCGCATTAACCTGTAAGGTTAGCTTCTCACCGCTGATAGTTACACTAAATCGTACAATTAAGATCTGATCATTGAACCGCTTTCTTAATGGCCAACTCCTGGCTTCACTCGGCTCGCAAGCTGCTTCCTCTCACTCTCTCCGTCCTGCTCCTCTTCGCCGTCACCAACGCCAGCGCCGCGCGGCCTATCCTGCACCAGTCCTCCGACACCATCGCGGATTCCGCGGTATCCCCGCACAGGGTGGAGCGGAAGCTGTTCAGCTGGGACGGCGTGACCGTCGATCAGATAATTGCCGGCAGCCTGGGCACGATCGACGGTCCAGAGGACGACGAGGTGACGACGAAGATCGTGGATCTATTCATGAACGCGGGGTACAACGTGATGGTCATTCAGAGCGACCACTCCGTGCAGGGCGACCCGGCGTCCGCGGCGGTGGAGGTGTGGCACTTCTGGGATAACTCGGAGTTCACCGTATATTACAAGCAGGGCCCCTTCTCTGTGGAGAATCTTGGGAATGGCGGGTACGAGAACTGGGCGTTCGGAGGCAACTGGCAGCGCTTCGGCGCGGATGAGAAGGTCGTCGTGTTCTACTGAGTGACAGGGTTAGTAGTGCCCTTAAAGCCTGGTGGTCAGATCAGACCTAGTGGATGTGAGGTGTTGAGCTGACACTGCATCATGGTGTGCTTGTTGCTGATGAGTCAGGCTGTCTGATGTCCATTTCACTGGTTTCCAGTGTGGTGCAGATGGTGCATGAGATTGGTGTTATGGTGAAGTAGGTAATTCATAAGATGTACCAAGAATTTCTACCTGGTGCTCCACAGCTTGACATGGTATCCCACCGGATGGCTGATAGAAGGAGCTCGCCGCCAATTCGGTTTTGTACTCATGGTGTGAGAAAGCATACCAGTTGCATGTACGCAGTATACAGAAGCATGCCTCCGAGCCAGCCTGGTACTCACATCGAACCAACACGCCAAGAGCATCCTCAACCACTAATGCGATTCTAGCAGTGCCTCAGCTCGCCGGGAAGGGGAGTAACCCCACTGGGTTCTCTCACTTTCTGTGCAGGGATACATACTGTAGTTGTCTGCAAGGGGTGAGCAATTTGTGCAGTGAACACGCTTCGTGATTGTACATGGCGTAACACGAGGTCATTCGAATCCAACCGGCACGCCTAGCTTCTCACTTGCAATCACAAGAGCCTTGTATCTCGATCCCATTCCCACAAACGACCTCTTGCCACTGCTACCACCACCTTCCCCAGAAGAATCACTTTCAACCCCATCATCAACCCCACGCACTCCCACCTCCCCATCCCTCGCCACTCTCCCCCCCTCCACGCCCTCGCTCTCATCCTCCTCATCGAGCCACGGGGGTTCCCCGTCGCCCACGAGGCGCCAGTACCCGTCTCTGAGAGCTTCTGCCTGCTGCTCTGATGCCACTCGCAGCAGCGCCTCCACGCGGAAGTTGATGCCCAGCCGCCCCAGCAGCTGTGATTGGGTAATAGGGCCATAGGCTCGAGCTGGCACTGTGCGGAATTTGAAGGGGGTTGAGGAGATGGGGGACGAGAGGGGGCATAAGGAGAGAGCGAGGGGCCTCTGCCTGCTGCTCTGATACTACTCGCAGCGCCTCCACTCAGAAGTTGACACCCAGCCGGCCCAGCAGCTGTGATTGAGTGATGGGGCCATAGGCTCGAGCTGGCACTGTGCGGGATGAGAAGGAAGGAAATGGAGGGAGAGATGGTGCATAAGGAAGGGGCGAGGGGTTCTGCCATGCACACGGATCATTGGCGTGAGACAAGGGTCAACAGCTGCGCATTAGGGGAACAAGTATCCCATAGCGGGGAGTAATTAAAAAGTTCTCACCGTAGCAATCCCGTCATAATGTCCCACTAGTTGATAAGAGGCCCCTATGATTAATAAGAGGTTCCATTAGCTACCATGAGGTTTGCATGGAGCTACTGGAGGCGGAGGGCCACTCACACTTGGAGTCAGTGACGGCTTGGCGGAGGGCAGCGAAGTCCACATATGCACTCAGATCCGCCGTTCCAGGCGCATCCAACACATTCACAAACTCATGCTTGCGTATGGCCTGGGGGGTGCGACATAGAGAGTGAGGAAGGGAAGCAGAGGAGGAGCGAGAGAATCGGCCTGAGGGTGAGTGACAGAAGCAGAGGGTTTTTGAGGGTGCAACAAACTCTTGCTAACGAACGGCCTGAGGGGAGAGAAAAAGAGTGAGGGAAGAAGAGGAGAACGAGAAAGACGAGGCAGTGATATGATAAGAGGGATTCAAAGCTCACCTGAAGGCTGTCCGATATTAATTTGTCCTCCCCATAGTCCACTATCAGCACCGCCCCACCATCTCTTAAGAAAGCTCAAGAAAGATTTTTGAGTCGACTCACACGAGTCAAGGCTCACCTGAAGGCTGTCCGATATTAATTTGTCTTCCCCGTAATCCACTATCAGCGCCGCCCCACCGTCTCTCGCCACCCTCTCCGTGATCTGCAGCGCAATCTTCACTGCTATAGGACAAACTTCCACGTGGACGGCTGCCGCCCGCTCCTCCAATGGGGCCCATTGCATGCGAGGAAGAAGACACAGAGTGCTTGCCGCGGTCGGCCCGGGGGAAAGGACAAAACGGAAAGGGTATTCGGCAGATGGATGGCCACTGGTGTCCCCTTGTGCATGGCTTGGGTTGGAGGGGGCTTCAGATGGATGGCCTTCTTTGTCCAGTTCTGCCACATCAACCAGTTTCTCACACCACCCTCTCTCCGTTTTCTGGCATGCCATGCCAATGTCAAGACAGCGCAATAATATGCAATGCTGACGTCAAGCCAATGCTGTAACATGCCATGCCATGGCATGGAAAATCATGCCTGGTTGTGACGGCAAGGCACAGCATGAAAAATGAAGTCAATCTGCAGCCTAATGACGGCTGCAGACCGCACAGGCTCACGCATTTATCACTGAACAAGCATTCAACAGCTGCAGGCGCATTTGGAACTGGTGGACTGGCATGTGCGAACTCAAGTGCTTGCTCTGTAGTGAACGCATTGGACCTAATAGTAGGCGCTCACTTGGAACTGGTGGACCGGCAGGGCGTCAAAGAACTCGTGTGCGATGAGGATGGTGGGCACTGCGGGGTGGAGGAGAGAGGGGGCGCGAGAGAAGGGAGAGGAGTAGAGAGAAGTGAAGCAATGGAGACCAGGCAAGCATCGGAAAAGCGGGGGAAAACAAAACAAGTATGATATTATTGTAATTCTTCTTTTGAAGAATTATTGTGTGCAGGCGAGCATGTCAGACGATGCCTGTATGTGTGTGCATGAAAACAGATACACAATGAAGGTGGAAGGGTGTGTGGTGTGGGGGATGGAAGGAACGTGCCGTGTGAAGTATCAATTCGGTTGCAGCACGAATGTCTCACCTCCCCCTGGCACATCTCACCCCCAGACACATCTCACCTCCCTCCCTCAGATCCCACCTCCCTCAGGTACGTCCTCCAGAGCAGAGTGCCACGTCACTGAAGCTCCACTCAGCCCCGAGACTCCCATCCCCGGGGATACCTCCTCTGCTGCCGCTGCTGCTGGTGATGGTGATGGTGATGGTGGTGATGGTGATGGTGATGGTGATGGTGATGACGTTGGTGATAAGGAGGAGGAGGGCGATGATGAGGAGGAGGGTGATTGTGGTTGCGATGGTGCTGCAGATGGTGACCCTTCGGGGCCAAGCCCGCCTGCTGCTGCTACTGCTGCTTCACCTGCTGACGCCACTCTACTACTGCTTGCCTTCCTCTCCTCCGCTCCCCCATCATCCGCCCTCCCACCCTGCGCCCCACCAACATCCGCCCTCCCCTCTTCCGTCTCTGCAGGGCGGCATTTGAGGGCGGACCACTGCAGGCGCCTGAGAGCCGGGCTCACCTCCACCAGATGCACCTCCACTGCTGCGCTGAAGGGCGTGAACTTGGCGGATGACTGGGGGAAGAGGTAGGGTGGAGGAGGGGAAGAGTGAAGGGGAGGTGGGGTGATGAGATGGAGCAACGCGCTCACCTCCACCAGACCAGATGCACCTCCACCAGACCAAATGCACCTCCACCAGACCAGATGCACCTCCACCAGACCAGATGCACCTCCACCAGACCAGATGCACCTCCACCAGACAAGATGCACCTCCACCAGACCAGATGCACCTCCGCAGCGCCGCTGAAGGGAGTGAACTTAGGGGACGACTGGGGGAAGTGGGAAGGAAGGAAGGGATGGGAGATTTTGCGAGAAGGCGAAAGTGAGGAGAAGCAGCACGAGAGTGCACAGGGCGGGAGAGGGGAGGCAACGGTGAAGCGTCAAAGGGATAAAACAGGTTGTTTCCTGTCTACCTGACACCGATCCTTCCTTACACTGATGTGAACGTCGCTCTCAACCGCACTGCACCGTATAGCATCACTAATACTACCACCAACGGTACCACCAATGCAACTCACGCGCAGCAGGTCAGCCATGAGCGTGCCCCTGCTCGGACCCAGCTCCAGCAGACGCACTACACTCTCTACTGCACCTTGTTGCAACGCCACTGCCAATATGATCACTACCATTACCATTACCATTACCATTACCATTACCATTACCATTACCACTGCCACTGCCACTGCCACTGCCACACCACTCACGCGCAGCAGGTCAGCCATGAGTGTGCCCCTGCCTGGACCCAGCTCCACTAGTCGCACTCTAGCAGGCGCGCCCAGCTGCTGCCATGTCATCATCGCCCACACTGCCACCATCTGATGCCGCACAGGGGGCGGGGCAGGGGCAGGGGGAAGGGCAGAGGTAGGGGCAGGGGCAGGGGGAGGGGCAGACGGAGGGGCAGGGGGATGGAAAGTGGGGGGGGTAGGAGGAGGGGCAGGGAGAGTGCAGGGATATTGGTAGTCGCCCAGGACACGCAGGGATATTGGTAGTCGCACAGGACACGCAGGGATATTGGTAGTCGCACAGGACACGCAGGGATATTGGTAGTCGCACAGGACACGCAGGGATATTGGTAGTCGCACAGGACACGCAGGGATATTGGTAGTCGCACAGGACACGCAGGGATATTGGTAGTCGCACAGGACACGCAGGGATATTGGTAGTCGCACAGGACACGCAGGGATATTGGTAGTCGCACAGGACACGCAGGGATATTGGTAGTCGCACAGGACACGCAGGGATATTGGTAGTCGCACAGGACACGCAGGGATATTGGTAGTCGCACAGGACACGCAGGGATATTGGTAGTCGCACAGGACACGCAGGGATATTGGTAGTCGCACAGGACACGCAGGGATATTGGTAGTCGCACAGGACACGCAGGGATATTGGTAGTCGCACAGGACACGCAGGGATATTGGTAGTCGCACAGGACACGCAGGGATATTGGTAGTCGCACAGGACACGCAGGGATATTGGTAGTCGCACAGGACACGCAGGGATATTGGTAGTCGCACAGGACACGCAGGGATATTGGTAGTCGCACAGGACACGCAGGGATATTGGTAGTCGCACAGGACACGCAGGGATATTGGTAGTCGCACAGGACACGCAGGGATATTGGTAGTCGCACAGGACACGCAGGGATATTGGTAGTCGCACAGGACACGCAGGGATATTGGTAGTCGCACAGGACACGCAGGGATATTGGTAGTCGCACAGGACACGCAGGGATATTGGTAGTCGCACAGGACACGCAGGGATATTGGTAGTCGCACAGGACACGCAGGGATATTGGTAGTCGCACAGGACACGCAGGGATATTGGTAGTCGCACAGGACACGCAGGGATATTGGTAGTCGCACAGGACACGCAGGGATATTGGTAGTCGCACAGGACACGCAGGGATATTGGTAGTCGCACAGGACACGCAGGGATATTGGTAGTCGCACAGGACACGCAGGGATATTGGTAGTCGCACAGGACACGCAGGGATATTGGTAGTCGCACAGGACACGCAGGGATATTGGTAGTCGCACAGGACACGCAGGGATATTGGTAGTCGCACAGGACACGCAGGGATATTGGTAGTCGCACAGGACACGCAGGGATATTGGTAGTCGCACAGGACACGCAGGGATATTGGTAGTCGCACAGGACACGCAGGGATATTGGTAGTCGCACAGGACACGCAGGGATATTGGTAGTCGCACAGGACACGCAGGGATATTGGTAGTCGCACAGGACACGCAGGGATATTGGTAGTCGCACAGGACACGCAGGGATATTGGTAGTCGCACAGGACACGCAGGGATATTGGTAGTCGCACAGGACACGCAGGGATATTGGTAGTCGCACAGGACACGCAGGGATATTGGTAGTCGCACAGGACACGCAGGGATATTGGTAGTCGCACAGGACACGCAGGGATATTGGTAGTCGCACAGGACACGCAGGGATATTGGTAGTCGCACAGGACACGCAGGGATATTGGTAGTCGCACAGGACACGCAGGGATATTGGTAGTCGCACAGGACACGCAGGGATATTGGTAGTCGCACAGGACACGCAGGGATATTGGTAGTCGCACAGGACACGCAGGGAAGCGTGCACGCAGGGAAAAGAGGGCAGTGTGCAAGCACGTGTGGGTTGGTGAGAATTGTGACTCTATGCACATGCGAGTGTGCCAGTGCCAGCGCTCCAATCAATCCGGGTGTCAATGACGACTGCCATGCACACATGCACCCATGCACCAATGCGCCCATGCACCCATGCACCCATGCGCCCATGCACCCATGCACCCATGCGCCCATGCACCCATGCACCCATGCACCCATGCACCCATGCACCCATGCACCCATGCGCCCATGCACCCATGCACCCATGCACCCATGCACCCATGCACCCATGCACCCATGCACCCATGCGCCCATGCACCCATGCACCCATGCGCCCATGCACCCATGCACCCATGCACCCATGCGCCCATGCACCCATGCACCCATGCACCCATGCGCCCATGCACCCATGCACCCATGCGCCCATGCACCCATGCACCCATGCGCCTCACCACACCACATGCCCTCCTCACTCCACTCACAACACCACCTCGGCTCGCCCCCCCTTTAAAGCCCTCCACATGTGCACCGCACCTCGCCGAACATCTGGGAGATTTCAGGCGACGTGATGAAGTCGCCCTCCCTGCCGAACACGTCCCTGTGCATGTAGTACCCGCCTGCGCTGCTGCTCGTTAACACCTGCACGTGTGAGGGGGAGGGGGAGGGCTTTGGAAGGCGGGATGAAACTCTTGTGTGGAGTGGAGTGGAGTGGAGTGGAGTGGAGTGGAGTGGAGTGGAGTGGAGTGGAGTGGAGTGGAGTGGAGTGGAGTACAGTGTGCACGGTTTGATGAGAGAGTGTGAGAGGGTGGATGGACATTGATCATGGACGCATATTGTGGGGATGCGGAGCAGAAGGCTCAAGGAGCGATCAGACGCCCCACTCACATCACATCACATCACATCACATCACATAGCACCCCAGCTTCGCGACAAGCAAAGCAACTCGCCTGTTCCATGTAGTCGGCGACGCTGATGGGCCCGCCGCGGAAGCGGATCATGGACCGAATGTGCTCCACCATTGGCGATGCTCGCTCGCTGCTGGACTGGGGGGGTCTGCCCTGGTGCGAAATTTGAGGCGCCTCTTGAGGCGCCTGAAACATTGGCGATGCTCGCGCGCTGCTGGATTGGGAGAATCCCCCCTGCTGCGCCGCGCCATGCTGCTGAGGCTCATTGCTAAGATCCTCACGCCCCTCCTCTACGAGTGAGGAAACAGCGAGGTTACTCGCCTCGTTTTTGCCCGACTCGTTCGAGTAACGACGCGAGGCGATAATTTCACGGTGCGCGTAATGTTCGCCATCGGCCGAATCGTGACTCGTCCAAAAAGGCGAGAATCTATTCACTCGCCGCGAGCACAAAGACACTCGCGGCGAGGCAAGTACGCGCGTCGCCAGGAACATCACTCCAGGAACACGAATTGCTATAGGCGAGTATTCAGCCGCGCCCCCCCATGTACACTGGCGTCCATACACTAAATACTCGCCTGAGATTTTCTCATATGCTAGACATACGCTGGGCCAAGCGTTTAGGAATCAGTGTTCTTGCAGCAACGGTAAATCCGCCAGTGCGATAGCGAATTGGAGTTGCAGCATAGTGGGTACAAAAATAGGAGGGGTTGGGATGGGTAGAGAGGGAGACAGCAGTCGACCCTCGGCTGCTCTCAACATTAATGCTCTTCACCACACACCAGAGCCCAAAACCGAGGCATTCTCCTTCGACTTTCCCCCACTCACTGGTCTGTGGTACGTGTTTGGGGTGCTTCAGAAGCTGTGATGCTTCAGAACCTCCTGTTTGCGGCGCGATGCTGTGTGCTGTCTGGTTGTTTCTTTGCTTTGTGCTCCAGTGCACTGCTGCTAAACGTATTGCTCTTTCTCTTTCGCTTCCACCCACCAAGCACGCCGACGCCCCAAGCCGCCGTGCCGGCGAGCAGCGGCAGCAGCGCGCGGCGCGATGAAGTTCGACGTGAACGCACTGCGGTACCTGTCCAAGGACGAGTTCCGCGTGCTCACCGCCGTCGAAATGGGCATGCGCAACGTACGTCCGTCCGTCCGTCCCGGCGGATTCCTTTTCTTTAGGCTCCCTCACGACAGAGGAACAGTGTTGCCTAAAGAATGACCGACTTCGGCCCGCGCTTTGGTGACAGACTTCGGCCACCAACGGGGATCGAGTCAGGCGCGTGGAATCCAGTTCCATTAGGTCAACGGTTTTCGTGTAATCAATCAGCCCGCGGAGCATAAAACCTGACGGTGTCTGTGTGCAACAAGCGCCTCAGTCTGTTAACCCAAACCCCCTTGCGCCTTCACCCGGTCGCACCTCACCAGCCTCGCTCCATGATAGACGGCCGGACAGACGACAGCATATAGACGGCAAGATAGACGGCCGGATTGAGCACCGCCGTTTTCTAAGACCCCATTCTAGGCCGCGCGCTTAGCTAAGCGTCCAAATCCAGATCCCTCCCATCCTCCGCGCCCCCCCCCCCCCACCCACTCTCCCCTCTTTCCCCCCTTTCCCCCCTCCCCACGTCCTGTGTCATGGCGTGCACACGTGGCAGCACGAGATCGTCCCATCGGAGCTCGTCGAGCGAATCGCCAGCCTCAAGTGAGCCACCTTCCCCATTACACCTCCCAACCGCTATGCATCCCGGAATGCGCTCGCGCTCGTAGCCCCTGACAAACCCTTAAACCCTGAATCGCTCTTCATCCCAGTCTCCCCACACTTCTCCCTCTTATCTCTTTTCCAGCGCAGCCCTCCTTCGTCAATCGCACCCTTTCTTCTTTCAAAATCAAGCCCCCATCCAGTTTGCCACACCCCCTCTTATACCCCGAAACCGAAACCCTGCCAAAACCCCCGCTCCGCCCAGACCATTCTCGCCTCTCTCACTCTGCACCTCCTCTTCCCCCCTCCCCCGGTTTCCCCGTGAGCTGACTTTTGAGTCGACTCAAAAGTCATTCTCGCCTCTCTCACTCTGCACCTCCTCTTCCCCCCTCCCCCGGTTTCCCCGTTTTCCTGCGCACCTGCCAGGCGGGGCGGGGCGTACAAGGCGCTGAGCACGCTGCTGAGGCACAAGCTGGTGCACCACGACTCCACCAAGTGTATGTCTCTCACCCACCCACCCACCCACCCGCGTGCCGTCCTCGCTCTCCTCTCCGCCCACTCCTCACTTTCCATTCCATATCCCATCAATTCGACTCGCTTCCTCTGCCCTCGTTCAATCCACGCAAGACTCAATCGCCACACTTGCTTCGTCATACCCCCATCGCTTCTGCACTGCACCCCTCCTGTCCACCGCACCTTATATCCTTCCTATTGGTGAAACTCCTTCCAATATTCTTCCTTTCTCCCTTCGCCTCCCACCCTTTCCCCTCCCCCCACAGCCGAGACAGGTATCGGCTGATGAACCTGGGGTACGCCATTTGAGTCGACTCAAGAGTCACCATTTCATTAGTCACCTCATTCACTCATATTTCTTCTTTTCTCTTCCTCTACCCCGATGCCCTCTGTAATAAGTCGAGTTTTGAATCGACTCAAAACCTTCCATTCCATGGGCAGACGATGGGTACCAACCTGGGTTAGGAGGACGTTTGATTCGTCAACGGAATGACCCTCACTCGTCTAATCGACCCCACCAATGTCTCCCCCTATTCCCCCCTTCATGTGCCAGACGACGGCTACTGCCTGACGAATCTGGGGTACGACTTTTTGGCCATCAAGGCGCTGGTCAACCGAATGACCCTCACTTGTCTCCCTCACCACTCCCTCCCGCGCCCACTCCCATCCCCCCATTCTCCACCAGACGACGGGTACCGCCTGACGAATCTGGGGTATGACTTTTTGGCCATCAAGGCGCTCGTCAACCGCGGCACCGTTGCTGGCGTGGGGCCGCAGATCGGCGTCGGCAAGGAGTCCGGTAGGTGGGGGTGGGGAGGGGTGAGCAGCGGTGAGGGGAGATGAGGAGCAGTGATGGGGCAAGGAGTCCAGTGAATGGGTTAGTGGGTGAATTGAGCTCTGCGACGTCTCTCTCTCGCCCGCTCTTCCTCCTTCCCCCCTTCGTTGTGGGGCAGGTGTATACGAGGTGGAGACGAGGTGGAGACGAGGTGGAGACGAGGTGGAGACGAGGTGGAGACGAGGTGGAGGGGGTTATGGTGATGAAGCTGACGAGGTGGAGGGGGTTATGGTGATGAAGCTGACGAGGTGGAGGGGGTTATGGTGATGAAGCTGACGAGGTGGAGGGGGTTATGGTGATGAAGCTGACGAGGTGGAGGGGGTTATGGTGATGAAGCTGACGAGGTGGAGGGGGTTATGGTGATGAAGCTGACGAGGTGGAGGGGGTTATGGTGATGAAGCTGACGAGGTGGAGGGGGTTATGGTGATGAAGCTGACGAGGTGGAGGGGGTTGTGGTGACGAAGCTGACGAGGTGGAGGGGGTTATGGTGATGAAGCTGACGAGGTGGAGGGGGTTATGGTGATGAAGCTGACGAGGTGGAGGGGGTTATGGTGATGAAGCTGACGAGGTGGAGGGGGTTATGGTGATGAAGCTGACGAGGTGGAGGGGGTTATGGTGATGAAGCTGACGAGGTGGAGGGGGTTGTGGTGACGAAGCTGACGAGGTGGAGGGGGTTATGGTGATGAAGCTGACGAGGTGGAGGGGGTTATGGTGATGAAGCTGACGAGGTGGAGGGGGTTATGGTGATGAAGCTGCACTTTCTGGGTGATGTTTAGTCAACCCAAACTCTCCTCCTTCTTACTCTCCTCTCCTCCCCTCCCCTCCCCTCCCCGCTCCCATCACCCCCCCTCCCCTCCTCTCGCAGACATATACGAGGTGGAGGGACCGGAGGGTGACGTGCTGGTGATGAAGCTGCACCTTCTGGGTGTCTTGTCTTTTTAATCGACTCTAAATCTTTCCTTCCTCCCCTTCTCCCTTGCTCCCTCCTCCCCCAGACATATACGAGGTGGAAGGGCCGGAGGGTGAGGTGCTGGTGATGAAGCTGCACCGCTTGGGCCGCACATCATTCCGCAACGTGAAGGCCAAGCGCGACTACCTGCGCCACCGCCGCGCACACAACTGGCTCTACCTCTCGCGCCTCGCCGCTCTCAAGGAGTTCGCCTTCCTTAAGGTGCCCTTCCTCTCCCTCTCTCTCGCTATCTCGCCGCTGGGAGTTCTCAAAGGTGACTGCAGTGCAACACAGCTGGCTCTACCTCTCACGCCTCGCAGCACTTAAGGAGTTCGCTTTCATCAAGGTGCGCTTGCTCTAGCCGTCATCGTTTTGATAAAGGAAGGCAGAGACAATGACCGCTAGAGATAATGACCGCTAGAGATAATGACCGCTAGAGATAATGACCGCTAGAGATAATGACCGCTAGAGATAATGACCGCTAGAGATAATGACCGCTAGAGATAATGACCGCTAGAGATAATGACCGCTAGAGATAATGACCGCAAAAGACAATGACCGCTAGAGATAATGACCGCTAGAGACAATGACCGCTACAGACAATGACCGCTAGAGACAATGACCACAAGGTACCTGTATTGCTCTCCCTCTTTCTCTCTCGCTCCCTCGCCGTTGGGAGTTCTCAAAGCTGACTCCCCCACAACTGGCTCTACCTCTCGCGCCTCGCTGCCCTCAAGGAGCTCGCCTTCCTCAAGGTTCTCTCTTTCACGGCCCTCCCTGCTTCACCCTCGCCCTCCCCGAAGTTTTTTTCCAATCATCTTCTTGCATGCACCGGTCCGTCTGGGCGGTGCTGTGTCCTGTGCTGTGCTAGCTGGCAAGCATCCTCCCCTCCCTTAACTTATGGCCACGCTGCACCTCCCCATCCATTCATGCCGTCACGCTTTCACCCTACCACGTGTGCATGCTGTTATTCACACCCCATGAGGTGAGGGCAGGCGTTGGGGGAGAGGGGCTTTCCAGTGCCGGGTGCGGTGGACTGCAACCGCCACTGCGTCATCATGACCCTCGTCAAGGCCTTTCCACTGTAATCATTACCACCATCATTGCTGCAATAATGTTAACACAGCATCCCGCGCACATTTGTCTATGCTGAGGGTTCCTTTCAAAGCGTTTCTTCCATGCAGTGCCTGTCAATCGACCTCTTGCTTCCTCCGTCTCAAACCGTCTCCCTCAGCCTGGTTCCAGAACTTCGGACATCTTCCTGTTTCTCTCCCTGCCAGCCACTCTCAAGCTGCCCTCCACTCACCTCATTCACTCGCCCCTCCACACCCCACCCCCCTCCCCTTCCCCCCACCCCACAGTGTCCAGGTGCGGTAATTACAGAGGCCGCAGGTGGTATTCGACCAGGTGCTCTCCCTCATCGCAAATTAGTTTTTATAATTCTCAAAAACAATCTGCCTTATCATCCCCTAAACCTCCTCCTGCTCACACCCCAACCCCCACTCCCCCCTCCCCCTGCCCCCCCTCTCCCCCCTCCCGACAGCGTGCAGGTGCGGGAGTTACAGCGGCCGCAGGTGGTGTTTGATCAGGTTCTCTCCCTCATCATCCGCCTCGCAGCGGTGGGGCTCATCCATTGTGACTTTAACGAGTTCAACCTGCTTGTGAGTGACTTTAACGAGTTCAACCTGCTTGTGAGTGACTTTAACGAGTTCAACCTGCTTGTGAGTGACTTTAACGAGTTCAACCTGCTTGTGAGTGACTTTAACGAGTTCAACCTGCTTGTGAGTGACTTTAACGAGTTCAACCTGCTTGTGAGTGACTTTAACGAGTTCAACCTGCTTGTGAGTGACTTTAACGAGTTCAACCTGCTTGTGAGTGACTTTAACGAGTTCAACCTGCTTGTGAGTGACTTTAACGAGTTCAACCTGCTTGTGAGTGACTTTAACGAGTTCAACCTGCTTGTGAGTGACTTTAACGAGTTCAACCTGCTTGTGAGTGACTTTAACGAGTTCAACCTGCTTGTGAGTGACTTTAACGAGTTCAACCTGCTTGTGAGTGACTTTAACGAGTTCAACCTGCTTGTGAGTGACTTTAACGAGTTCAACCTGCTTGTGAGTGACTTTAACGAGTTCAACCTGCTTGTGAGTGACTTTAACGAGTTCAACCTGCTTGTGAGTGACTTTAACGAGTTCAACCTGCTTGTGAGTGACTTTAACGAGTTCAACCTGCTTGTGAGTGACTTTAACGAGTCCAATCTGCTTGTGAGTGACTTTAACGAGTTCAACCTGCTTGTGAGTGACTTTAACGAGTTCAACCTGCTTGTGAGTGACTTTAACGAGTTCAACCTGCTTGTGAGTGACTTTAACGAGTTCAACCTGCTTGTGAGTGACTTTAACGAGTTCAACCTGCTTGTGAGTGACTTTAACGAGTTCAACCTGCTTGTGAGTGACTTTAACGAGTTCAACCTGCTTGTGAGTGACTTTAACGAGTTCAACCTGCTTGTGAGTGACTTTAACGAGTTCAACCTGCTTGTGAGTGACTTTAACGAGTTCAACCTGCTTGTGAGTGACTTTAACGAGTTCAACCTGCTTGTGAGTGACTTTAACGAGTTCAACCTGCTTGTGAGTGACTTTAACGAGTTCAACCTGCTTGTGAGTGACTTTAACGAGTTCAACCTGCTTGTGAGTGACTTTAACGAGTTCAACCTGCTTGTGAGTGACTTTAACGAGTTCAACCTGCTTGTGAGTGACTTTAACGAGTTCAACCTGCTTGTGAGTGACTTTAACGAGTTCAACCTGCTTGTGAGTGACTTTAACGAGTTCAACCTGCTTGTGAGTGACTTTAACGAGTTCAACCTGCTTGTGAGTGACTTTAACGAGTTCAACCTGCTTGTGAGTGACTTTAACGAGTTCAACCTGCTTGTGAGTGACTTTAACGAGTTCAATCCGCTTGTGAGTGACTTTAACGAGTTCAACCTGCTTGTGAGTGACTTTAACGAGTTCAACCTGCTTGTGAGTGACTTTAACGAGTTCAACCTGCTTGTGAGTGACTTTAACGAGTTCAACCTGCTTGTGAGTGACTTTAACGAGTTCAACCTGCTTGTGAGTGACTTTAACGAGTTCAACCTGCTTGTGAGTGACTTTAACGAGTTCAACCTGCTTGTGAGTGACTTTAACGAGTTCAACCTGCTTGTGAGTGACTTTAACGAGTTCAACCTGCTTGTGAGTGACTTTAACGAGTTCACTCTGCTTGTGAGTGACTTTAACGAGTTCAACCTGCTTGTGAGTGACTTTAACGAGTTCAACCTGCTTGTGAGTGACTTTAACGAGTTCAACCTGCTTGTGAGTGACTTTAACGAGTTCAACCTGCTTGTGAGTGACTTTAACGAGTTCAACCTGCTTGTGAGTGACTTTAACGAGTTCAACCTGCTTGTGAGTGACTTTAACGAGTTCAACCTGCTTGTGAGTGACTTTAACGAGTTCAACCTGCTTGTGAGTGACTTTAACGAGTTCAACCTGCTTGTGAGTGACTTTAACGAGTTCAACCTGCTTGTGAGTGACTTTAACGAGTTCAACCTGCTTGTGAGTGACTTTAACGAGTTCAACCTGCTTGTGAGTGACTTTAACGAGTTCAACCTGCTTGTGAGTGACTTTAACGAGTTCAACCTGCTTGTGAGTGACTTTAACGAGTTCAACCTGCTTGTGAGTGACTTTAACGAGTTCAACCTGCTTGTGAGTGACTTTAACGAGTTCAACCTGCTTGTGAGTGACTTTAACGAGTTCAACCTGCTTGTGAGTGACTTTAACGAGTTCAACCTGCTTGTGAGTGACTTTAACGAGTTCAACCTGCTTGTGAGTGACTTTAACGAGTTCAACCTGCTTGTGAGTGACTTTAACGAGTTCAACCTGCTTGTGAGTGACTTTAACGAGTTCAACCTGCTTGTAAGAACTCGGACGTGCATGTGATTGGCTGAAATGCGCTCAGCGTTGCTCTGGATGACTTATCGTTTCTAAGCTTACCGTGAGTTAGGATCGGCGTCTCTGTGAGTGACTAAAACGAGTTGAACCTGTGGTAGGCAGCCAGCACGACAGCACATTGCGAGTGACCACAACAAGTTCAATTCAACAGTGAGCTGACAGTTCATTTTGGTTCAATGTCATGGATTTGGACCCCATTTGTCTTACCTGTTGCAATGTGTGCGCATCTATCCCTGGTGTGTCCGTGGCACGGCATGGCATGGCATGGCATGGCATGGTATGGCATCAGGTGGATGAGGAGGAGAGGATAACAATGATCGACTTCCCTCAGATGGTCTCCATCTCCCACCGCAATGCCAAGATGTACTGTGCTTACCCCTTCACGCATGCGCTCATGTGCCCATGCGCTCATGTGCCCATGTGCTCATGCACACATCATCCCCATGCGCACTCAGTCATGCACTCACCCCCTTGCAGAAACATGCACTCACCCCCTTGCAGAAACATGCACTCACCCCCTTGCAGAAACATGCACTCAACCCCTTGCAGAAACATGCACTCACCCCTACACATGCCCATCAATTACAGTGCACCCATGCCTTCACGCTCTTCCAGTTTCCACTTGAATGTCTTTTCCGCATGCAAGTCCCTGCCTGCTGCAGTTTCTCCCCTTCATTCCCCTCTCTTTCACTACTTCTGTATTCAACATTACGTCTGTATTCAACATTACGTCTGTATTCAACATTACGTCTGTATTCAACATTACGTCTGTATTCAACATTACGTCTGTATTCAACATTACGTCTGTATTCAACATTACGTCTGTATTCAACATTACGTCTGTATTCAACATTACGTCTGTATTCAACATTACGTCTGTATTCAACATTACGTCTGTATTCAACATTACGTCTGTATTCAACATTACGTCTGTATTCAACATTACGTCTGTATTCAACATTACGTCTGTATTCAACATTACGTCTGTATTCAACATTACGTCTGTATTCAACATTACGTCTGTATTCAACATTACGTCTGTATTCAACATTACGTCTGTATTCAACATTACGTCTGTATTCAACATTACGTCTCTGTTCATGCGGCCCACCTCCTCCCTGCGGCCGCATCACGCACACCCTCCAGGTACTTTGACCGAGACGTGGAGTGCATCTTCAAGTTCTTTGGCCGCCGGTACGCCAGCATTTTTGTTACAGGCGCTTTCTATTACTCATTTCTTTTATTCTTTCATTTTTTCATTCTAACATTCAAAGTCTGTAAAGAACGGCTGCCTTAGCCGTGCATGGTAGGCCAGCCATGCATGGTAGGCCAGCCATGCATGGTAGGCCAGCCATGCATGGAAGGCCAGCCATGCGTCGCCAATTGCTGATCCCCAACCCTCTCTCACCCGCTCACTCACATTCGCTGCCCTGTCATGTACCCCGTCCACCTCCCCTTCCCGTCCCGCCCCACCCACCTCTCCACATACAACTCTTCCACTGCTCCTCTTTCTTCCTCCACCTTCCCCCCCACCCACCTCTCCTCACCCCTCCCTCCACCTGCTCCTTGCAGATTCAACTTCGCCCCCAAGAGACCTCAACACCCAGCCTTGGAAACCGCCTTAGCTCTGTCAGGTGTGCTTTCTCCACCCTTTCTGCCTCTGCCCTTGCCTCGACCCGCTGCGCTTTCCCCTCTGTGCTTTCCCCCTCTGTATTTCCTACTTTATGCTTTCCGCCTCTGTCCCCCTCTGTGCTTTCCCCCTCTGTGCTTTCCCCCTCTGTGCTTTCCCCCTCTGTGCTTTCCCCCTCTGTGCTTTCCCCCTCTGTGCTTCTCCCCTCTGCCCTTCCCTTCCTGTCCGTCTCTATACTCTTACCGCCCCTGCACCTGCCTTCCCTGCTCCGGCCCCCTCACCTGGTCCCGTGCCTGAGTCACCGCACTGAATCCCTCTATTTATCCTTCTTCGATTCAACACCTTGGCACCCCTCTGCATCCTTGTGTTCGTCCTTATTCCGAGCTCTCCTTTTGTCCCTTGTACTCATGTTCTCTCAACAGGCGGGGGGGAAGGCAACAAGGAAGAGGAGAGAGAAAATGGTAGAGGGGAGGAGGATCAGGATGGGGACGAGGCAGAGAAAGAGGAGGAGAAACAGGGGAACGAGGAGAAAGAGGTGGAAGAGGAGGAGGAGGAAGAGGAAGAGGAGGAAGAGGAGGAGGAGGGGACATGGAGGCCTTCGTTCTCAGCCGTCAAGGCACTGGTGGAGCGAGCGAGGGAAAGAGCAGAGGATGGTGCAGACGAGGCAGGTGACAGGGAGGAGGAAGAGGAGGGGCGTGTGAGAGAGGAGGGCGCTGATGGAGAGGTTCGAGAGGAGAGCAGTGGGGAGAAGGAGGGGAGCGGTGGGAATGCCGAGGCAGCTGAAAAGGGGGAAGAAGTATCAGGGGAGGGGAGAGAAGGGGCAGCAGAGGGCGAATGGGAGGCGTGCAGAGCGGTGATTGAGGCGCTCATGCTCGCTGCTGGGCCTTCAGACAGTGCTGCTGGTGGTGGTGGTGGTGGTGGTGGTGGTGGAGATGCAGCGATGGGGAGCAGGAAGGAAGAAGTGGCAGGGAGGAAGGCGGAGAGGAGAGGGGGTGGGAGGAGGGGAGGGCGGAGGGAGGTGGTGGGGGCGGTGACAGGGACGGGGCCTCTGGACAGACAGCTGGCAGCGAGTGGGTTCAGCATGCAGAACGAGGCTGAGCTGGAGCAGGTGAGTGGTGAGGTGGAATGCTTTACTGCTAAGGTGGAATGGTCGAACGCTGAGTTAAAACACGAGTGCAGCGGGAGTTTGGGGAAGATACCTTAGTCTGGTTCAGGCAGAGAGATTTTTTTTCCCACTCGTCTATAAAATCACATCTTTCACAGAGTGAAACATGTGAGCTGGCCAACCTGCTTCGAGTGAAACATGTGAGCTGGCCAACCTGCTCTGTGAAACATGTGAGCTGGCCAACGTGCTTCGAATTAAAAAAATCCGCTCTTCATCATTTTCAGCTTTGAAATCATGCTGCAAGCCACATCAACAAAGAAAAGTGTTCAGCTGGTGGGTGAACGCGCGTGGGTGCATGTGATGATGTGTGTGTCCATCACATTCATCCTTCTGTCTTCTCGCTCAACCATAAACCCTCCCCCCTCTTACTGCATCTGTCCCCTTCCCCCCTCTCGTGTGTGCCCCCTTCAGTACATGGAAGAGTCGCAGTGGAGGGAGACAAGTCACTTGGAAGGCAAAGAGAATGGCATGGAGGGGAACCAAGAGGAAGATGAGGAGGAGGATGAGGAGGAGGATGAGGAGGAGGAGGAGGAGGAGGAGGAGGAAGAGGATATTGATGAAGACGAAAACGAGGGTGAGCCCACCGGTGAGGGTGCAGAGGAGGAGGATGGTAGTGAAGGTGGGAACGACAGCAATGATGACAATCAACTTCAAGAGGGGGATGGGGACGAGGGCATGGGGAAATCCACACATGGCAGTACAGTTGGAAACGGGGTGAGCAGGAGGGTGAGTGGGCGGGCAGGGCAGAAGCAGCAGAGGCAGCTGGAGAGGCAGCGGCAGCAGGCAGCGCAGGCGGTGCGAGGGGGAGGGGTGAGGCGCGCGTCACGCAATGCCAGCAAGGACAAGGGAGGGAGGAGATCGCGCCACGTGTCGAGCCGAGCAGGGATCGATTGAGAGAAGGGCCTCTCTGCTGTGGACCAATGCAGTGGTATAGCAGTGGATAGGTACTTGAGTGGGTGGCATGCTTTTGTGTGCTGTATGTAGGGTAGATGCCGTTTTGCCTGTGTGCACCACGTGATGTGAATGCAACTGACTCGCATGCGTGCTCCAAATGTGCCTTGGTGGGGAACAGCGTCAATTTAGAACACCCACCACGGTGCTCAGTCTTAAGATGGTAGTATGTGCAGCAGAATTTCATGTAAAAGCATCCCCAAATACAAGCACACGCACCATGAGACAAGAGACAAGCCTGACTTTCAGCAACAAGCACACCAGGAAGCAGTGGCAGCTCAATAACTGGTCACATCTGCTAGGCATCATCTGACCCTACGCCAAGGCTCTAGGAACAAAAGCATATCAGTAACTAAATCAGGAGAACACGACGACCTTCTCATCCGCGCCGTAGCGCACCCAGTTGCCTCCGAACGCCCAGTTCTCGTACCCGCCATTCCCAAGATTCTCCACAGAGAAGGGGCCCTGCTTGTAATACACGGTGAACTCGGAGTTATCCCAGAAGTGCCACACCTCCACCGCCGCGGACGCCGGGTCGCCCTGCACGGAGTGGTCGCTCTGAATGACCATCACGTTGTACCCCGCGTTCATGAATATCTCCACGATCTTCGTCGTCACCTCGTCGTCCTCTGGACCGTCGATCGTGCCCAGGCTGCCGGCAATGATCTGATCGACGGTCACGCCGTCCCAGCTGAACAGCTTCCGCTCCACCCTGTGCGGGGATACGGCGGAATCCGCGCTGGTGTCGGAGGGGGACGGGTGCAGGATAGGCCGCGCGGCGCTGACGTTGGTGACGGCGAGGAGGAGCAGGACGGAGAGAGTGAGAGGAAGCAGCTTGCGAGCCGAGTGAAGCCAAACGTTGGCCATTGAGAAATCGGTTGGATGATCGTATCTCAGTTGTACCGATCTGCCTGAGACTAACAATACGCGGTGAAAAGCTAACCTTGCACGTTAATCACACAGGAGGATTCAAATCCGTGAGCCGCAAGGTTCTTAATATGCGAAATCGAAGGCACGAAAGAGAAAACGGAGACAGAAACTGTGATGATTGAGGTGAGTCGCAGCGTCTAATTTATAGCCGTTAGCATAGTTCGGAACTGGAGCTGGCCTCCAACGTGAAGGCGGACTGCGCCTCGCTTGAGCCGCCATTGCCAAAGATTAGCGTACGGACTACGCTTAGACGTGATTGACACGAGAGAATGGAGTTCCTGAGGTCCGACTAGGCGGTTCGTAGCAGACATAGGGATTAGCTAATGTGAATGCAGTGGAGCTGGCTGGAAGTGGCTGGCGGTAATGCAGTGGATGGGGGTTGCGAGCTGAGGCGTGTCGAGGGGTGGAAGGGAAAGGTGGAAGTGAATGGGGCAATCTGGTCAGGGTGGGAGGAAGGTTGCTTCGCTGCTGGAGGGAGTTGGCCCGCCTGTTGGCGAGATTGATGATGCTGAGCACGCGTCGCCTGGAGCGATTTGGGGTAACGTACGTGACGAGGTTTCAAGTACACCGCGTCCTTGACATTTTCACGACAAGTAAAGAGCTAAAAATGAACACATTATACTCAGCCATTTCAACATCTACAGATTGTGCATCCACATGAATTACTAGCAAATACTACATGCTTTGAATAGCTATAAGATTTTATTTCAGCAAGAGTCCAAATCAGGCTTCAAAATGGAGTTAAAGATGTCAACAACCCGTCTTGAGTCGTGCTGGAGCTCGTCTTCTACTCGCACGCACACAAACGCATGGATTCTCGCGTTGGCATCTCCGTTGATGGCGGTGGTGGTGACCCGGGCTTCTCTACCGTTCCCCACCACCCCATCTATATGTTACGATCAGAAGTTGATCGACCCTAGGATCACCTCAGGAAGGTTCGCACACAACTTGTTGGTAGTGGTGGGCCCTTGACCTCAAAACAGAGTGAATGTAAAATGTTTGAGATGAATTGAAATATGCAGATATAAGCATATAAATAGTAGTACAAGGGGAATACGAAACGACCTAGCTAGCCATGTACTCTAAGGGGTACATTCCCTTATTCAAATTCAAACCCAACAGTGCGGCTTGAGCAGTTATGAAAGTGTTCCCGCCAATTCTCTCGTTCATGCAACTGCTTGATGCCGTCTGCTCCGACGGTCCATATCCATTCCAACTGTGTGCGCTACTTCGAGTCAACTATGACTCTTCGCGTTCGTGCCTCGATACTGTGTGCTTCGCTTTGCTGCGGTTAGGAGTGCACAATCATATTTCACTATTCGTAACACCCCCCTTCACTCCTGGCCGTAGCTCGACTTGACCTGCTTGACTACTCCGCTGAGTTCGGAGCAGTGCTGGTACTGCTGGCGTGGCAGTCGCTTCGTCAGGAAGTCAGCTGCCATGTCACCTGTCGCGTAGTAGGCCAGGTCCACCTTCTCCTTGTCAACTGCCTTGGTCACCTGTCGGGTAGTAGGCCAGCCCCGCGCGCCGCCCGTTGCGCTGCCCCACAGCCCCGCGCGCGCCTTGCCAGCCCGTCGCGCTGCCCCGCAGCCCCGCGCGCCGCCCATCTCGCTGCCCTGCAGCCCCGCGCGCACCCTGCCGCTGCCCGTCTCGCTGCCCCGCGGCCCCCCCCCCTCGCGCCGCCTCCCGCGCTGCCCCGCAGCCCCGCGCGCTGCCCGCCGTGCAGCCCCGCGGCCCCACGCGCCGCCCGTCGCGCTGCCCCGCAGCCCCGCGCGCCGCCATCCCTACTGCCGCGGCCGCTTGCCCCACCCGCGCGCTACCTGCGCTGCTAGTGCATCGCCCAGACAGCCCACGCGCAGCTTGCGGCTGCTTTGCGCGCCGCCCTTGCCTGCTGCCTGTGCCTGCTGCCTGTGCCTGCTGCCTGTGCCTGCTGCCTTTGCCTGCTGCCTGTGCCTGCTGCCTCTGCCTGCTGCCTTCGCCTACTGCCTTTGCCTGCTGCCTTCGCCTGCGCTGCGATTATGGCGACGCTTAATGTTCTCGCGTTTGAGCCTGACGGTCGCCCGATTGAGTTTGCCACTTGGCTCGACGACCTGCAACTGTTTCTTATGACTGATGCAAAAGACGGCGTTTCACTGTTCGATCACGCGTCTGGCACTGCCGCTGCTCCTGCTGACACTGCTCCTGCTCTTGACCGCTCACAGTGGCAGACTCGCGATGCTGCTGCGCGCCTTGCTATTCGCAATCATCTGCCGATCACTGAGCGCGCGCATTTTAGCCAGCACAAGACTGCTAAGGCACTGTATGACGCTGTAGTTGCGCGCTATTCGTCCCCAGCCACTGCAGCCGTAGGTCGTCTCATCCTGCCCTACCTGTTCCCAGACCTGTCCTCGTTTGCCACCGCTGAGGACCTTATCTCTCACCTCCGCGCTAGTGACACTCGCTTTCGTGCCACCCTTAAAGACGACTTCCTCGCCAAGAACCCCCCCCCCCCCCCCGTTGTACTTTACCCTCTACATCCTCGTCACCCGCCTCCCTGACACTCTCAGTTCAGTCAGGGACCACTTCCTCGCCAAAGACCCTACCACTCTCACTCTAGCCGACTTCGAGCAGCAGCTCCTAGCAGCAGAAAAGAACATCCTCGCTGTAGGTGCTGCTCGTGGCACTCCTCGCACTCCCCTCTTTGAGGGGTGCTCCCCCTCCCCTCTTGCCCCCTCCTACGCCTCTGCTGCTGCTGCCGTCGACCTCCTTGGTGCTGAGAAGGTCGCAGCTGCTTCCGCTCCTAGTGGGAAGCGCAGCGGCACCAGGGGCGGCAAGGGTGGCAGGGGTGGTGGAGGTGGCGGTGGAGTGAGCGGTGGTGGAGGCGGTGGGGGTGGTCGTGGGGGTGGTTTTGGGGGTCGAGGCGGTGGGTGGGGCGGCGGTGGGACTGGGAGCGGTGGAGGAGGCAGCGGTGGTAGTGGGGGAGGAGGCAGCGGTAGTGGTGGCGGAGGTGGGGGCTGGGGTGCGGCCGGCCCGAAGGGGAGCTCCAGTGGTGGCAGCAGCAGCAGCAGCAGCAGCCACAGCAGCAGCAGCAGCAGCAGCAGCAGCGTCAGCGTCATACCCCCACGTCTCAGCAGCTTCATGACTGGTACGCTCAGCGTGGGGCGTCTGGGGGTCCTGGTCGCTGCCCCTATGTCATTCGCGCCGGTCCCCGCGCTGGTCGCCCATGCAACGGTTTTCACACTGAGTACCGCTGCTTCGCTAGGCTTAGCGACGCCTGGCGCGCCAAGTTTCCTGATGCCACTGAGTTCCCCAACTGGGCAGACCTGCTTAGGCGTGATGTTCCTATCTTTGATCTTGACTATGATGCAATTCTTGCTACCATGTATGCATTGACTGTTAGTGCTGAGGGTGACTGCTACTTGTGTGTCCCACCTGACCCAGGTATAGAGACTGCAGCCCTAGGTGCTAGTGAGTCTACTCTCTCTGGTACTGCGCCTGCTGAGGCTTTGCACACCTTCACGCTTGACTTAGGTGCTTCCCGCTGTTTCTTTCGCGACAGCACCACAGTCACTCCCCTCCCTGCACCTGTCCCTGTCTCACTGGCTGACCCCTCTGGGGCCCAGTGCTTGCACGGTCCTGCACTGTGCTCCCGTGTCCGGCGGTCCCGTCCGGTGAGCTGTCAGGTCTCCACATCCCCTCGTTCTCTACGAACCTGGTGAGCAACGCCGTCCTTCAGGATCATTGGGTTGACACCTTTACTCCTGGAGGACAGCGTGTGGCGATCTGTACGTGCTCTAGGACAGGCCGCCACCTGGCCACGTTCACACGTGCGCCAGGGTCCAGTCTGTACACCCTCACCACTGTGTCGCGCTACACCCCTGTGTCTCCTCAGCTGTACGCGTCCGCTCAGGTAGCTACCCAGTGTGAGTGTCGCCGTCTGTCGCACCAGACTCTCCTCTGGCACCACCGCCTTGGTCACCCCTCCCTGCCGCGCCTTCGTGGCATGCACTCTCGCCTCCTGGTCTCTGGTCTTCCCAGGTCTCTGCCCACTCTCCCACCCTCGCCTGCGCCGCCCTGCATTCCTTGCGTCGAGGGGCGGCAGCGCGCCGCTCCTCACTCCTCCTCGTTCCCTCCCACAGAGGCTCCACTGCAGACTCTTCACCTGGACGTGTGGGGCCCAGCCCGCGTCCAGGGGCAGGGCCGCGAGCGGTACTTCCTGCTGGTCGTCGACGACTTCACGCGTTACACCA